CCAGCGCAGGCCCAGAGCCTTCCGCATGGCCTGCTGCGCCGTCTCGCTGAACCTGTATGGCTCCTGCGGCTGCGGTGGGCAGAGGGCGGAGGGCCCGGTTACCCACTCTGCCGCCCGCTTGCTGCCGTCAGGGTCAGGTCCTGGGACGGAGCCGCCCGCCTACCAGGCTGTGCAGGTCGTTGTGGTTCCGCATGAAGGGGTAGAAGGCCCCCAGCTGTGTCCAGCGCACGCACAGCTCTTCTGACGTGTTGCCCTGGAAGCCGCAGACATCGGCCCCCACCAGGGGCACCCCCAGCAGGTTGAAGAGCAGGGTTTCTGCAGGGGAGGGTCAGGCAGGGCCTCAGGCCACACCCCTCCCGCACCCCCTGGTCAGTCCTGCCTCATCGGGGTCAGCGGAAGGTCAATCTACCTGCCTGCAGGCTGCTCCCTAACACCTGGGCGGGGGTGGGCACAGCAAACTAGCCCGTTAGCATGGAATGGTGTCCCCCCCAAAGATCACATTCCAGTCTGAACCCCCAGTCCTGTGAATGGGACCTTATTCGGAAATAGGGTCTTGGCAGAGGCGGTCAAGTTAAAATGAAGCGTGCGGCCCCGATCCCATATGGCTGGGGCCCTAGCAGACAGACACGTGGGGAAAGCACGAGATGACACGGGCCAGAGTGACGCAGGCCACCAGCTCCGGGAAGGAGTGGGGATGGGACCCCGGGAAGAGGAGGGCCGCAGGCGACCCGCCCGCACAGGTGAGCAGGTTCTCATTGGACCCCGCGTCCTGCATGAGTCAGCGATGCCCCCGCCATTGCAGCAGGTGCCCCTGAGCTGTGCTGGCCCAGCTCCCAGCTCTGGCCGTTCCTCCCGCGGGGCCCACACCCCGATGGCTCTCACCCGGTACCGACGAGGACAGCTGCTCCCAGCTGCTCCACACGTCCCCTGTCCAGTGGCCGGCGTATTGGCCGTGGCCGGCGAAGGTGGAGCGGGAGATGACGAAGGGGCGTGTCCCCCGAACCTTCACCAGGGCCCTGGGCGGAGCAGGGGACAGAGCTGTGCGGACAGTCAGCCCCCCACAGTGTGGCCATGCAGCGGCAGAGCGGGAGGCACGAGGGGCGCCAAACCAACATGTGCTGGGCAGTCAGCTCTGCTCGAGCCACCTGCCTCCCCTGGCAGATGCCCGTGTCACAGGGAGGACCGCGTCCCGCCAGGCCCACCGGAGCCAGGGGCCTGGCCTGCCCACGCTGTCCTCAAAGCACTGGGCAGGGCCTGGGGGACAGGGCTTGGCCCCTGGGTGGCCTGGGCTCCCTCCCTCCCCCCGGCCGCCCCTCACAGGCCCTCACCTGTGGGAGGCCAAGGCCTCGGTCAGGCCGTACAGGTTGTGCAGGTTGTAGTGCGTGGAGAGAAACTGGCGGCTGGAGGCACAGATGGTGGCTGCCTGGAGGGACCCGCCCACCACCCCTGGGGGAGAGGGGCACTTTCTTAGGGGGGCCTCTGCCTGGCGGGCTAGCGCACCCCACCCTGGGAGCACCCCACCCTGGGAGCACCCCGGGAACTTGGGGCACATCCCCACACAGTCTCCACTTTTCCAAGGACGGGAACGAGGCGGACACCACGGGCTGCCCTAGGCAGAGCCCAGACACACAGGCTCCAGCCCTGACCCGTTTCCGGGCTGTCTCTGCCGTGTTCCTAAGCCCACGATGCCCGCCCTCCCGGGTCTCGCCTCAGGTGCAGGGCTGGGGTCCACGTTGTGAGGCGGGGGTCTCCCACACCTGAACCTCCTGGGTCCCCCCTTTCCTGGCTGGCTGCACCCCCGAGTAACAAATAACAGCTTCGAGTCTCCCAAACCAGAGACCTGATCTGAGCCACCAAGTCCCCGCCCGGTGCCAGGGCGCCGGTGGGAGCTCACCAGGCACGTAGGGCGGATTCTCCAGCTCGTTATCGGGGCAGCCGTCCACGGAGCCCTTCACGAAGTTGGACGGCTCGTTCATGTCCTGCAAGAGGCCCCGGAGGTGGGCGTCCGCCCAGGGCAGAGGGTGGGGCCGGTCCCCAAGGCTCAGGGACACCCGGGGGCGGAGGGCACACTCACGATCCACATGCCGTCGAAGGGCACCTGGGCGTGGAACTCAGCCACCATGTCCTGCCACCAGGCCAGGGCCTCGGGGTTGGTGAAGTCGGGGAAGGCGGTGGGCCCTGGCCACACCTGGAGGAGAGGCCGAGGGGGAAGCCAGGGTCCCTGAGGGAAGGACTAGAGGGGTCCTCCTGGTCAGGGGCCACCCCACCCGCTCCGTGCCCTGGACAGCGCCCTCTTCCCCAGCACCTTCTGGTCCCACCGCCGGGACCCCCGCTTCTCACCCCGCCCCCCGCCCCCGCTCTACCTTCCCGATCAGGGGCTGCCCAGTCTCATTGGTGATGAACACCCCCCTTCGCAGCCCCTCGTCGTAGGGCCGGTAGCTCCCCGCAGGCCCGGAGCTGCTGATGGCGGGATCCTGGGGGCGAGGGAAGCGGGTGGAGAAGGAAAGGCGAATCTTGGTGCCAGTGGGGGGAGGGGGGCATGAGGCCCCGTCGTCGCAGGGCAAAACCGCGGTGGTGCTCACGCCTGAACACGCGTGAACACACACATCGCCACCGAGGCGGAGCCCAGGGCCCAGCAGGCGACCGGGCACCTGGACACAGGCTTCCTGCCCTAAGGGCTCCGGCTTCACAGACGCTGCACCATGAGCCCTTCATGTCAACGGATCTCTCCGGTGTCCGTGGTGGGGCCTTTGGTCTCAGACCCTCCCCTCCCCCTCCCCCCCTCCTCCAGCCACAGGGCGGCTCTTCTCCCCAGAGGCTCAGCTTGGGGGGTGGGGGGGGCCTCACCACGATCATCACGTAGCGCCGGCCGCCCTGGTGCAGCTCGCGCACCATGGCCGGGAAGTCCCCGAAGCCGTCCTTGTTGAACGTGAAGTCCCTCCGGGCGTCCATGTAGTCCAGGTCGTTCCACTGGACGTCCTGCAGCCGGGCAGCGGCGGC